GGTATATATTCATTTTACCTTTGGTTGATTATATATATATACCATATACCACTTTACTCTGTTGAAGTCAAGAACATAACAAAAACCCATGCAAGAAGTAGAGAAAGACCAAATAACCACTTTGTCTCCTCTTTTGTTACTTCTTTCTTCAAAACATAAGATCTTTACCTCTTTTCCTACATTAAGTTGTTGCATAACTTTCACCAAAACCTTCCTCAAAATCCCCCTTTTCCCAACACAAGAACAAAAAACTCTAAATCTCTAAACCCTTTTTCACCAAATCTTTCATATTTCAAAAAGCCTAAAAAATGGATACAAATGTGTTCATCAATAACCCATCTTTAACCTTACCTTTCTCTTACACCTTCACTAGTAGCAGCAACAGTAGCACAACCACAAGTACCACCACAGATTCGAGCTCCGGTCAATGGATGGACGGTCGGATTTGGAGCAAGCTACCTCCACAACTTCTTGACCGTATCATCGCTTTTCTTCCACCTCCGGCGTTTTTCCGATCACGTTCTGTCTGCAAGAGATTTTACGGTCTACTTTTCTCAAACTCTTTCCTTGAGACATATCTTCAACTACTTCCTCTCAGACACAACTGTTTCCTCTTCTTCAAACACAAAACCCTAAAGAGTTACATTTACAAGAGAGGAGGAACAAACATTGATGATGATGATTCCAATAAAGCTGAAGGCTTTTTGTTTGATCCTAATGAAATCAGATGGTATCGTCTCTCTTTTGCTTATATCCCTTTAGGGTTTTATCCTTCAGGTTCATCAGGAGGGTTAGTGAGTTGGGTCTCTGAAGAAGCTGGTCTTAAAACCATTCTTTTATGTAACCCTCTTATTGGATCCGTGTCTCAATTGCCACCAATCTCAAGGCCAAGGCTCTTCCCTTCAATAGGTCTCTCTGTAACACCAACTTCCATTGATGTTACTGTCGCCGGAGACGATCTCATATCTCCTTACGCCGTGAAAAACCTTTCCTCGGAGAGTTTCCATGTGGACGCAGGCGGATTCTTCTCCCTTTGGGCGATGACTTCTTCTTTGCCTCGGCTTTGTAGCTTGGAGTCCGGTAAGATGGTTTACGTGCAAGGGAAGTTTTATTGTATGAACTATAGTCCTTTTAGTGTTTTGTGCTATGAGGTTACTGGAAACCGGTGGATCAAGATTCAAGCTCCGATGAGGAGGTTTCTTCGGTCTCCGAGCTTGTTAGAGAGCAAAGGGAGGCTTGTACTTGTAGCAGCAGTGGAGAAAAGCAAGCTTAATGTTCCTAAAAGCCTTAGGCTTTGGAATTTGCAACAAGATAACGCTACTTGGGTCGAGATCGAACGGATGCCTCAGCCGCTTTACGCACAGTTTGCAGTGGAAGAAGGCGGTAAAGGATTCGAGTGTGTCGGAAATCAAGAGTTTGTTATGATTGTCTTTAGAAGGACTTCGTTACAGTTGTTGTTCGATATGAGGAGGAAGAGTTGGTTGTGGGTTCCACCGTGTTCTTACTCCGGCGGCTCAGGTGGTTCAGGCGGAGACGGTGAGGTGTTGCAGGGTTTTGCTTATGATCCGGTACTTACTACACCAGTGGTTAGTCTTCTTGATCAGTTGACACTACCATTCCCTGGAGTCTGTTAGTTAGAGAGAGACTACGTGTCGTTTCAATTTCTAGCGTTAAGACTGCTTGCTGTTTTCTAAACAAAAAATTTCTTTTGCCTTTATCTTGTTCCTGTCTGTTTGTAGTAAGTTTATATTTCTAATGGAACTGTCTACTCTTTGACAATACCATATACAGACAGATAGTGAATCGTTACAAACCAATTCTAAATCCATCGAACCTCGAAACTCAGAATCTCCTGGAGAATTGTTTCACTTGAGCTTTACCTTGAGAATGAGATGAATTTTGCGGTTCATTATTCCCCTGAGTTCTTCATTTGCCTCAAATCCTATCCTCCTGTAAAATTAGCATCATCACAAAAGATCATTCACAAGGTAGTATCATAATATATATAAACGGATCATCAATTAGTCCAAAGCCGATTAATCTTGTATGCTCTTACCCGATTTTGGAACCGCCCTTGCCCACAAGAATCTTGCGTTGGCTAACTTTAGGAGTGATTAGATGCTGTTCAATTCTCAGAGACCCGTCTCGCAACTCGCTCCAGTCCACTAGACGGTGCTCCACACCATATGGAACTTCCTACAGGTTGTTTCAATATTTCATTTTGGAATAGGTGGAAACCGATACAAAAGATTTATACGGTACTAGTAGAGGTTATATTGTTACCTGATGAACATGGTCTAGTAATCTCTCCCTGACAACTTCAAGAGAGATGTTCTTCAAGACTTCTTCACTCATAGTGAATGCATCTTCCTCCCACGGTTTTTTTACTGCCTGATCCATTAAATATTGGGTAAGATCTTTAACTCCAGATCCCTTGAGTCCTGATATCATGAAGTACCTAGAACACCAAACAGAAAAGAAAAAAAGAAACACATTTTTTTCAGTTACATTTCGAGAGACCTTGGTTCGTTGTTTTAAAACTGAGTCAGGTACATTGATCTACCTTTCATATGCCGGAAGATTTTGGAACTCTTCAGCAACCTTTAACAGATCTTTCTTCTTCTCAACCAAATCAACTTTGTTCATACATAAAATGCGTTTTTGTTTCGGATTTGCTTCTTCGCCCATGTTTTTAATCAAGCGTACAACTCTTGAATCCGGACTATATAAATCAAACAGAAAACAGAATTCACAGATTACGAGTTAACTTTGAGACAACTCTACTTCTACTTGCAAATAGCGGAAAAACAGTCAAAGAGTGAGTGATAATCCCACAGAGATGACGAGAAATGAAAGATATCGAAACAGAGATGCTCGTAATAAGCCCACCATAAGATGCATTACTCGGTGTTCAACTATTCTACGCATAGTTACGAGACAAGTTTGTCAAGAAAATATGCAAAGCTGATAAAAGCACACAAAGTAGCAAATGACTAACCTCATTAGATGTCGATGGACATCAAACATAACAATGAGGACATCAAATAATTCAACCGAAGTCCAAGCATTTTGCACACGAGTCTTGATGTCTTTGTAACCATATCCGCTCTTCTTCAGCATCAGACCAGGAGTATCAAAGAAACACTGCAAAAGGTTGTTCCAAACACAAATAACTCAATCTACGAATGATCGCAACAATGAATTCGAACCTCCATACTTAAAACCATAAAACAAATAGTTTATATATGAGAAAACTTACGATTTGTGTATCCCCTTTTGTCAATACACCTAACACTTCATGAGTAGTCGTGTTAGTCTTCCGCGAAGCAGCAGCAACCTTTGTACCAACCTGCACTTAAACATGATGCAAACAATAAACCAACTTCGCTAATCGTAAAACCGTAAGCAAGATTCTCAACAAGAGGCCATTATAAGACAAAATCAAGCAACATGGCAACACAAAAACACCGAATTCAATCAAACGCGTACTAATTCGATCTTCATAAACACAAATATCTCAATTGATCAAAGCATAAATGTAAAATTAGGAATAAACGAACCATGAAATTAGTCAAGGACGATTTTCCGGCGTTTGGTGGACCGATGATACCGACATTAAGAGACTTTTGATCTTCTTCTCTAACTTCACCTTCACCAAGTTCATCATCCGCTGAATCAAGCGCAGCTTCAAGGAGAGCCTTAGCAAGAATCCTCGACCTA